CAGTATTTCTGGGAGTGACAGTTGCATGAGAATTCAAACTCCTCAATAGTCTGTTAAAACGTGACACTTTGTACCCTGTGTGTTCCTCTGTCCCTGTGGGTTCGACCTTTCTACCACTATATTGCAGTTTTAGCCTTTAGTGGGTTATTACAGTACCACATGGAGCCTCGCGACCAACTCGAATACTTTGTTGTCTTGCGATCCAAATATCGCAGGAGTGGCACGATCTGCTCGCACAGTACCCCGGTTGGCGTCTTCCGCACAGAGTCCGCTTCCTGCTCTTCCGAACTCGTCTCATCCTCTGATTCGAGGATTTCAGTCGCCACAGAATCTCTTGGCGACTCCCTGGAACTGTGGCGCGCGGCAGCTTCTGCCGCGACTGCCGCTCCACTCCCTGCTAAAATATCCAAGGCAGTGGGGGATCCCACTGCCTGAGCCCCTGTTCCGGCTCGATCTTCGGTTCTCGAAGGGGTCGGCGCCGCAGTTACTTTTGTCACCCTTGCACCGCCCGCTTCTACTGCCTGCTCTTCCGGCGCGATCTGCGCGGAAAGTGTCTTCGCCGGAGGTGTGTCCGTCGAAGGCGCCCGCACAATGGTCGCCGGCCTTGTCCGATTCGCAGTCGGCGAATCTGGCCGACTCTCAGTTGACCGACTCGCAGTCGGCTGACTACCAGTTGTCCGACTGGCAGTCGGATCCATCCTGCGCGTCTTTACTCCACTTGGCCGGCTTGCTGGAGGCGTTTTCTCAGAAGCGCCTTCTGCCGAAGACGACCCTCTGAGAGTTGTTGGCTCTTCAGCCAAACTCCCTTCTGCTTCCGGCCTGCTATCCGGTTCAACGCGCTGCTCAGTTGGCCGTCCTTTAGTCGCCCGACTCGCAGTCGGCCGACTGTCTTCTTCTGAAGGCATCCGCGCCTTCTGCGCAGAGGGGTTCACCGATTTTTCCAGAATCTGCGCGATTATCTCCTCCTGCGTGGACTGGAGTACGCCCGGTCTCCTCACTACTAGTTGGCAACACCATCTTGCGTGCCCTCTGTTTTGGCCGGCTATGAAGCTCGTGGGTTGGCCGACTCCGAGTCGGCGCAGCGGGAGCTTCCGGCTGCCTGTCTTCAGGTCTCTCATTCCATTTCCGCTTCCGCGGTGCGCGCTCACTTCGACGCTCTTCAGCTGCTCTTGCTGGAACCGGAGCTGGAGTTGGACTGACAGGTGCTTCGTCCAGATTTAAGTCCACTTCAGCCTCCCGCAAGTATCTACCCGGATAACTCCGGGTCAGCAGCGGAAACCGTGTCCGCTGTGAAGCCGTCAAACATCCCATCGCTCGATAAAACACGATCAGGTAAGGCGAAAGATGATTGAGGGTCCCTCCTCTCTCTTCTTGCGCATGTTGGCGCGTCACCTTCCATAGGAGCCGTGCCCAATGAACCGGAGCTCCTGACAACACTAGCTCCACAAATCCCACTTGCCAACCATGCATGTATGCGGTCTTGGTCGGCTGCAATATCTGAAGCAATGCAGTCGCGACATTTCTCCGCAATCGATCTTTGTAATCCCGCGTCCGGAAACCGTCCTTGGGATGCTTGGCAACTTTGAAAAGATCATGGTATGAGACTTCTTCCTCCTTCGACACCTTCACGCTCTCGGCCTCGAAGAGGAGATACCCTTCCTCGCCTGCACACCTTCCTAACACCTGCGCCCAGTCGCTAATGTCCCACCTCTCGGGGTGTGGGCGGAATCCGCGCGAGGGCTTGTGTTTCTCCTGCAAATACTCGCGCACCATCTCCGGACACGTCCAATTCCATCCCCACAGGAGGAAATCAAGCTTCAACCTTGTCAACACATCTTGGAATGCGCGCAGACCGATCTGCGGCACTCTAAGTGGAGACACTCGCAGCATGGGGATCTTCGACATCTCTCTTGCTTTTCCTGCACACACACAGACGTTTTTGCCTTCCGCTCAATCTCTCACAATCGCCGCTGCGCGTCGACCGCTCAGACATTGACTGAAATTGCTCTCTCTTCTCTCGCGCGCTCAATTTCGCTGCTCGCAAACTCTCTGCAAGGTCCGTCCAGATCCTCGCGCAACTTGTCTCCGCACTCTCTCTTCTCACTGCAGGTCTCTCCGCCCTTGCGCGTGATCTTTGAAGCTGGAAAACTCACAATCAAGAATGAGAGAATGAGACTGGAGAGCAAACTTTTCTTCTCCGAATTCAAGATAGCCCAACGCTCTCACTGGGTACAATCAAACTTGATTACGCAGCCGGCTATACGGCCTAACGGTTCTCCCTCGCATGCTCAAATTCACGACTCCGCAGTGCGCGCATTCGCATGCGTGAACGTTGAATTCTCCCGCCGCCATCGTCTTCCGGACTCGAGTTCGCCATCGTCTTCTGGACTCGAGTTCGCCGCAGCGGAGCGTATGCGTCGACTATGTTGTCTTTTCCCAACCTGCCCATCGCCGGAGGCGTATCGCCGCTGGCGTATTCCTTCTCCGTCGGCGCCTCGCTGGAGGCGCACATCAAGTCGGCGCGAATTACGCCGGCGCGTAGTCGTACCACTTGTTTTGTCCGTTCTGCCCGCATATCGACGACGGCGCATATCCCGCCGGCGCGAATAATGCCAGCGCACCCGCCTGTCCGCGCCACGTCGGAGGCGTACCGCCGGCCGGCGCTTCTCTTCCGCTCCGCAGCCGCCAAAGGTGCTTCCGCCTCTGAGTTGATCTCCTCTTATGAGCGCGTGGTTCCGCCGAAGGCGCATCGCCGAGGGCGTACGGGAGTCCTTTCCGACGGTGAACCCTAGCGCGAACAGCGCATGTCCGGATGCAAGTTTTCCGACGCTCATAACTTCTTTGTCCCTAATTCATCTTCGGCGCTCTTGGGCTCGTTAGAACGAGCGTCTCGAGCTCTTTCCAATGAGACCCCAACAAACTAGAATTACCGTGAATCCTGATCGTTATGAAGGTTTCCCTCCCGCGCCAATGGCGCACCGCCGAAGGCGCACTCATGGTCGGAAGCCTTCAGAGGTCCTTGCCGGCTTCTGACGTCTTTAGCGACATCTCCTCCGGAGGTGTCTGTGCCGGAAGCGTACCTTCCCTAAGCGCTGGAGGTGCGTGGGTAGAGACACCTCAGTAAAGGAGATATTGCCGAAGGCGCCGAAGGCGTTCGGCGCTGGTACGTCCAACTCCGCGACTCTTCGTGACCTCGTGACGATCTCCTCAATCCACTCTATTTAACATACCATTTCCTAACTACAGACACTGCTTCGGTACTTCTTTTCTGAAATTGTGTAAATTCTGCAAAAAAACAAAAAGTGTGTTACCACACTTCAGACTTCGGACTTGGAGAGACCTGAGAGGGTATGATTCCTAGGCATCATCAAGGATCAAGTTACCTTTAGCGAGAGTGTAGAGACTGGTTTATGGGTGAGACTATTTTGAGGTGAGATTGAGTGATACTATTTTTAGGTGTGATGAGATGGGTTTTCAGTGTTTTATTCTTGGAAATACTCTTTGACCCTTGGAGAACAGCCAGGGGTGCTTTGGCCTTGGCCTTTCGGGGGTGCTTGGGACTTTTTGCGTGTTATATAGTTCAGTGTTTGTGAGTTTAGAGGGGGGGTGTGGCATCAGGAGATTACAAGCTTAGAGCCGAGACGTAGTGTGCGTTTTCTTTTCCTCATGGCTGATGAGACGCAAGATAGTGGTACTTTCCTCGTGTGATGCATGTAGATTTCTAGCAACCAGCTTCCCTTGTGTACTTCTGAGAAATCCTAGACTTTACTCGCAAGGTAGCTGTGAGACGCAGTCTAGAGGACTGAGAGTAGATTTTTGCAATTCTTGAGTAGTGTTGCTCTTCCAGTGACGGAAATAAAATATATCACATGTACGTCTGAATGTAACGTGATTTTTTTAGTATTTTCTTTACTCAGGGAGCCCTTCCAATGTATCCGGTTATAATGACAGGGTATTTTTCATCACATAAGAGTGTTATTGGTGTAATCCCTTATAACAAGTCCTGACAAAAGGCATGATGCGTATGGCCAACCAGTCCAAGGTTTCTGATACCAGCTCTAGTCCTTCACCATGCTGCCCGATTGCAGCTTGGTTGTGTATCACTGCCAGGCCTTTATCTGGAAGAGTGGGAATGGCTGGAAGCGCTACTGATTCTTTTATGATCATGGGAGACGAAGGCAACGCTCTGGTATACGGGGAAGGGATGGTGCGGTAGTCCTCGGGAACTTCAAGTCATGTATAATGAAGAGCGGCAAGCTATCTGAAAAACGAACACATGAGCTTTTTTAACACGTGAAGTGAAGATTAACCATATCAAGTTTGCGATTAAGAAGAAATCTGAGAGACTCAATGCAAAATCTGATGGTTGCAACTTTACATTACAGCATGCTAACAAATTCATGAGGTCTAGCAAGTGAGAAGCCAATTTTGGATTAATCTTTCAAGGTTTAGTTATCTAGATAAAATAATTTGTGTCAAATCTAATTTTACTATATTGTTTATCAATGTAAAAGAATTTCAAGATCATGGAGTATCAGTTTTTAAATTTTATTAATAAGTATATATTTAGGATTGGATCGCACATATTAATTATCATATGTTATTAATTTAAAACTATTAATTTAAAAAAATTCTAATATATTAAGTTTGAACTTTTCTTGGCCAATAGTACCGTGCTGATTCTTCCCACCGAAAGTACTATGTGCTGCAAGGATATCATAACTCTGATGGAACTGACTCTACTCAAGGTCAACCATTTGGCTTCAACTTTGCCAATGGAATAACGTAAATTTATTGCAGAATAATTATCCCCGAAGAAAATTGCAGTTGCACCTAACTTGGGGGAAATTTGATCACAGTACTGTACACGCGAAAACCATCCTCCAAACTTAATAGAGTATAGATCCTAAAATCCTAAACTCTCGACTTGCTCTAGCTGTTGGCTCGTTGCGTCCACGCGGAGCGGACGCGTGTCACTTTTTTCACGTTTTCTGGCGAGTCTATGCATATCGCCTGAGTCGCATCTCCGCACGAATTTCCGGGATTATAAGCGGGTACGGTAAAGCCCCAAAAATACGAACAATTAATGAGAAGAGCCAGGAGTCCACGGAGTTCCCCACAGTATCGCTCCTTTCGGGAGGCTCTGTGGTAATGCAGAGTAACGCAATGCGGGTAGAGGACAGCTCAAAAAGCAAAAAAATATCTTGTAATCCACACCGAAAGGTGGCCGACATGAGCATGAGTGACGTTATCAAAATATCCGAATTGCGGTACTTATTCTGACAATAGACATGTTTGCATTCCAATATAGGTATAGAATAAGGTGGTTCTAAACCCAAGTAAACTTTATATGGCTTGGAGACTCATGATTATAACATGAAAAATGCCTTGCGTATGAGGTATGTAGGATCTTCTGATCTAAACCGAAAGGTAGCAGACTTGAGCATGGGTGACGTACTCAAAATATCCGAATTGAGATACTTATTTTAACAATAGGCATGTTTGCAATCCGATATAGGTATAGGATAAGGTGGTTCTAAACTTAAATATAGCTTGCAGACACATGATTATAACATGAAAAAAGCCTTGCCTAGGAAGTATATAGAAGCCGACCTAGGACAAGTAGATAATCGACAGACAATCGATAGGAGAATCTGGATCTCAATTAATTTTAGTAACATTTTATATAATTCGAAGTATATATATATACACACATATTCGTTTTGGTGAATCAATAGTTATAGAGGCCACGTTATACTTTCTTCGGACGAGACATAGAAAAATCTAACAACAATAATTTGTAAATTTAGGGGAGATTCATATATAAATTTTAGAGACCTTTTAGAGTCTAAAACCAGAACAAAAATTATTAGAAATGACCTAGGCAGATCTTCAGATTATTTAAAATAACACAATGATCACTTTGAATATTTTGATTTTATTATAATGTTAAAGAAACTAAAACTAAATTACTAAACGAGTCTTAGCGATGTGATATAAGTGGAGCAACCGAAACTAATTTTTATTGGAAACATAGGTGTTTTCAATAAAAAACACTTTAGCTGTTGGACGATGTTAGTGAAGCAATTATAAAAAAAGTTTGAGACAAACAAGAGAAAATACTACAAAGATATTACTTAATATCTCATTATACTATAGAGAATATACTTTTAATACTGTTTATTGTTTTATTGAATTTGAAGAAATGCTTTACATTTAGATTGACTGCATGTGTAATGCCAATATTTCTATACCATTGTCGCCAACACAAAAAGTATTGTATTAAGTTTATCAATTTTGACTAAATCAATCACAAGGCTATGTGAGGGTTGCAAAAGTTGCTCTTTCTTGGAAAGGGAATTGAACTCAACAAACCCGATAGTGAATTGATGAAAGCTTTAGACGGCTTCTCAGATTTTATTGCCTAATATGATCTGAAAACGTATGCAATATGGTACATACCGGCTAGTTTCTTACTACTACCGAAATGTAGTCTACTCATATCATACGAGGAAACATCAACCAAAAATTGATTTCTAGGCACAACAAACTTCAAAACTTGCACAAATTGACAATATGTGACATTTCGAACTAAATAAATTTTGATCCTCATTTTAGGGGTAAAATTATGCGTAGTTATCCGGGATGCGTAGTTAAACGGGTGCGTATGTGAATCTTGCATGTTCTTGTCCACCATGTTCGTATATTGTATATCATCATGCGTAGACAAAGATTGGTGAACTCAAGAAAGAATGTTAGAAAACAAAATAGATATATGGGTTTATAGAGCTAGAATGTCGACTTGAAAAAGAATCTTCAATTTCGTGATGATTTTCATAGAAGACTTTCTCCTTTGTGAGTGAATGTTGGTATAATATCATGTCAAAAATATGTGGAATCAGAGGAAGAGAATAGGAATGTACATACACTATACCAGTATGTAGCATCTTGTATGTAAAAGGGGCAGAAACGATCTTCGTCTTAACATTATATCCCAAAATTTGTCAAAATGAATCTTCCTTTTTGCGAAAACATATCATTTAATTCGTCGAACGCCGATTTGACAAACTGTAACTGCTGCCGTGTCAGGGTCACTGAGCATTTGTGAAAACAATCCTGAGTAGAGCATGTGAAACACAAACTAGAGCTCGTCAACAATGCTACTTAATTACTGACCTACTCAGATTAAATGGTTTCGATGATGAAAATACTTTGCTACCAGGTGGCTCAACTCCAACAAGAACCTAGACAGTCTACTGAGGATTCTTCATGTCATGTCTCCCAAGGTATGAGGAAGTAGCTTTCAAGGTTTTGGGTATCAGGAATGTATTTGAACAGTTTTTCGGGTACGAGTAAGTACATCCCTGCATTTAAAGCAGGGAATGTACTTGGAATGGCTTTACAGTTGGAATGTAGATTTTGTCGCGAAACATGAATTTTTTATCCGTTTCGCTTATCACACCATAGATATTTATGCTATGGTTTGAATGGTGAACAGAAACAATTAATAAAAAATACTAATTTCTCAATAGTTTTATCATTTGAATTCTACTTTTGGAGAAAGAATGAGCCCATTGTTGTGGCTTAATCGGTCAGCTTACAACTCAACTTCGGTGTACCTTGCAACCATCCTTACATAGTAACAGGAAAATGATCAGCACAGGTCTAGTGAGAACGAACGTAATTACGAATGCCACTATCCACTACTTGATAAAACGACGCGGAGATTTACTGTCGTCCTATTGAAATCTCAAGCTATAAGTGCTGAAGCGTCCAGGCTTTCAAAGCAGCATTGTTTCACAGAGCATTGGCTACATTATTTCTCCTTCACCATGTCTCGCTTGGAAGTTTGAGATTTGAGCTTACAGCTCTCTTGACATAAACTGGTGGGCGGACGACGAAGTTATCCAAGAACAAGCCAATCCGGAGTGGTTCCTTGAGTTTGCACGCAAAGATGGAGGGTTCTCTAGAGCGCAGGCGTGATGATCTAACTATCGTAGCTCAGGTCAACGTGAACCTCATGAAAATCAATCTGGCTGGACTGACGAATCCAGCTCAGATTTCCATTCAGCTCGTTTCTCAGACACCAAATGCCGATAGCCCAGGTGATAAATTCTATAACAAAGATATGATTTGCACGTTGCTACATGTAATAACTTCTCTTACATTGTAGCCTACTTCTCGAATCAGTTCTTTCAATTTGCATTTCTAATGTCGAGTCCAAGCTGACTGAGAGATGTATTCTACGAGGTGTATGAGAGCATGTTGTCAACAGACACCTCGTGGAATACATCTCTAGCTCAGAGTCCCATCTTCAACAATCTTTCTTCACGCACCCAGTTCAACTTTTTTAGCAGGCATGAGGTCCTAATCAACAGGTTGACATGATGTATCCTGATCCTCCGCACAGCCACTGGTTTCAAGGACAAGTAGAGTTTTTACACTTGTGGGACTGTGCTTCAGAGATTCTGACGAAAATTCTGATTTTTCCACGAGATATCCAGGTTCGACCGAGCCAAGTAAAAGTGCCGAGGTAACCCTTGTCAACCCTCCACCAGCAAATGGAACGGCGAGTCAAGCTGACGAATATGACAATCAGTTTCCAGTGGTGGTGCCAAGCTTCTTGCTAAAATTTACGCAGCTCGCAGACGATTTCCAAGTCGGAGCAATTATTGTGAGAAACAATAACAAGGAACGGTTCTACCTCGATTCGGTGAAGCTGAACATCCATGACGTACCCAAAGATTCAAACGACTGGGACTGGGTTTTCGAGTGTGACAGTCAGGTTCACCCCACAGTCGACCCCGAGAAGGACTTCCGGGTGTATTTTCATCGTAAGGTGAGATTTAGTCATCTGAACAAAATATCGATTAGAATGTTTATTCTCTCCATTCGTACCTCTGCACCGTGTTTTCCAGTACCTTGATCATTAAAGGAAGAAAGGGTAGGAACAAGGATAGAATTGTGAGCTTTAGAGTCTCTCTTATATTTCTTAACTCGACATTTCAAGCAGCTCGATGGATCCCTCTCAATAATTCGCACTGTGATAATGATTATGCGAATTCTTATTCATGCTTGTCTTTCCACAGGCGGTTTTTGCCCACGAAACCCTCTGGAAACTGATGGACCACGAGCTCCATCGAATACGTGGAGACTTGCGTGGAGCAGTGAAACACCTAGAAGACGACGCGACACAGCTAGCAGACGACTTAATTTACGAGTTCGATAAATATAATGACTTGGGATACGATTTCGTTTTGGGTGGCTCTCCATTTCCATACCCTCGTCGCTTCAGATGTACTTCACTCTTCGAGCAGAGTAAGATGGTTTTCTCGTCTCCTACCATTTATAAGTTGTAGGTTACAGAAATTAGACGCGTGGACTGAGTCATAGGGCCTCCATAAGTTCAGAAGGCAGACGAGCTGATCAACGTACACTACATTAGTTTCAGACGCTTTTCGTCTCTACGTACGATGTCGGCTATAGCCTACTAACTTGACTACACGAACACATTCAGGTGACAGCACCACTGGACATGGAAACACCGTGTTGCAGACATTCATCCACGCACTTCTTGACAAAGTCACAGACTGGTGTTTTCATGGAACGCCAGTGGAAGATCCCAAGAAGACTTTCGGCAGCATCCTCGAGATTGCTGGAATGGATAATCGGTTTGAAACTACGATCAAGTGCCTCGAAGCCCACAAAGTGCTGGATGTTTTCCTCGACGTGTTCCATCAGTCGATATTAAGCAAGAATCCTTTTATCGTCTTTCTGGAGAAATTCATCAACGTGTTCAAGGAATTACTGCAAGCCATTAATCTTCCGCAGCCGAGATCTGTGCTAAGTAAGTTTCTGTCCTCATTCTCTCGGAGGTCAAACACGCCTTGGCACGTAAAGCAGATATGCTTAAGAATTACGAATGATGCCGAGCTAATCAGTGAAAGAATGAACGCTCAGGCAACGTTCAGATTGTATCCCATCTCGTTGGCGGTCCTCAAGCTAAATTTCATGCGATGACCATTTCTTTATGCAAATTGCAGCTTTGACGCCCGGAGTCGGAGGCACTTGGTATGACGTTCTGATGAACGACGAGGAGTTCGGGCGGCAAGCTCTGGCGGGCATGAACCCGGCCGTCATTACGCGTTTGCAGGTGCGAGTTAAAACTGGAAACATGAGACTTATGACTCGATTGAAATGTCCGTAATGCAGAACCGAACTACTACGCTTTTCTTGCTCCTTTCAGACCAGAAACGAGCAAGCGTCTTGAAAATCCTGAGCTGCAGCTCAGCTTCAATGGAGCTGGCTCCTCCTCATGTAAAGAGGATGCATTTATTTGCTCTATGGCTCAGGTTTTATGATCAATTACAGTTGTCAAATATTGTTTAATCTTTTATTGCACGACTACATATATCTTGTCACTTCATGGCTTCTAACATCAGACCCTGCTCTGGATTGTCCACGAATACAGACCTTTCCTCCGAGTGATACCGGAAAGAAGATTACTGGCCTTCAGCATGCTGTTGAGGTGTATCTGAAGTCAAAGCAATCCACATTGGAGCAGGTGCGTGGGGAGTTTCATAGCTATGATGCAGTGCTATGTTGTCAGAGAGAGAAATTGTAAGAAGCATAACAATCACAACTAAACGTCGTCAGGAACTAAGAGATTTTTATTCACTGCAGGCGATCGAAGAAAACAAGCTTTATATAATCGATTACCACGACGCCTTCAAGGCCCACGTGGGAGAGATTAACCAAATCTCGGGTAGAAAGACGTACGCAGGACGTGCTGTCTTTTTCTACAAGAAGCATCCAGGCAAATTGATCCCCATCGCCATCGAGCTATCTCTACCTAAAGATAGTGGAGACCAGCATTGCACATTACACCGTGTTTTCACCCCTCCTGTGGTTACCCCACAAGAGGTGCAGCCGATCTCTAACGGTAAGGGAGGTTCGTCAGATCCGGCCGATGAGCCGGTGCTCGACTTTTGGTGGGAGCTCGCCAAGATCCACTTCATTTCTCTGGACTTCTCATACCATGAGCTCGTCAGTCATTGGTAAGTATGCCGATGGCTAAATGATCTCCGGTATCCCCTCTTAATACTTTACGTCCCAATTTGAGGACGTCGATTTTGATTGCGTGAGTCGAGAAGTGGTCTTGGATAGGAAATCTGTTCACTGACATTAACCCTATGCACCGCTTCACGACCGTCCTTCAGGCTGTACAGTCACGCAGCGATGGAGCCAATCATCATCGCCACTAAAAGGACCCTGCTCTCCAGTGTGCATCCCATCGGAAACCTGTTGGAACCCACCTTCAGGAACACACTGAATATCAACAGCGACGCTCGTCAGATCCTGATCAACAAGATCGGCATAATCCCCGACAACTTCACCGCTGGAGAATACAGCATGAAAATCAGCTCTGGTGCTTACCAGACATGGCGTTTCGACATGCAATCAGTTACCAAGGATCTACTCGCAAGGTGCCACAATCAGACACATTTCCAGTGCATTTTATGCTCAGATCACTATCGTCTTGTCGAGTGCTGTATAGTCTGGTTCTGCTTTGGCTTTCTCAGGATCCTTTACTTCGTGTACCATTTGAATGGCACTGATGCCTGCTGATGCATCCCCTGCATTCATTGGTGATGGTGCAGAGGAATGGCAATACGAAAGAAAAAGGATCCGAAGAACCAGAATGAGGAAGAAGACGTTGAGCTGGTAATCGAGGACTACCCGTTCGCGCAGGATGCTTTGAAAATGTGGACATTGATTAAACATTGGGTCACGGGTTACGTGAACATATTTTACAAATCGTCAGCCGATGTGCTCAACGACCCACAGAATCACGGAGCGCTGCAGCATTGGTGGACCGAGGTGAGAACGAGGGGTCATCCCGACATCAAGGAGGGGTGGCCGGAGCTGGACTGCGTCGAACAACTCATAGAAATTCTCTCCACGATCTATTGGATAGCAGGCCCGCATCACGCTGCAGTGAACTTCGGCCAGTACGATTACGCCGGCTACGTGATACAGAGATCATCCATGACCCGTCAACTCATCCCCGAGCTCAACGTGAAGATGACCCAAGACGCCTGGAGATCGTACGTACTGGACACCATAGCCACTCCCAAGCAGACCTTGCAGGTGATGGCCATCCTGAAGGTCTTGTCCACCCACTCTGAAGAGGAGCAGTACTTAGGCGAAGACGAGTGGACATTTAATGCCCATGGAAAGAAGAAAGGTCTGATTCAAGAAAATGGAGAAGATGTTGAAGATAAAGATGTCGTTGAACATCGCAAAAAAAAACATGAAGATTTGCTTGAAAAATGGTGGGAAGATATCTTCGGGCATAAACACGCCGGGACTGTGAAGGCTGCTAACCCCGAGAAGGATTTACAGAAGGTGTTCAAGATCTTCAGTGACGGCGTTAATGCACTGGAGAAGGAGATCGAAGCGGAAAACAAGGCGGCCCGGTCGTTGCCATGGAGCAACAGAATCAGCTATAGCAAGTTGGCATATACACTTCTCCTCCCCAAATCCAAGGCTGGCATGACGTGCATGGGGGTTCCATACAGTACCTCCATCTAATGACCCACCTTTTCCAAAATCTCCTAGCACCTGATTATCGATCAAGACTGTAGATGTAACAATTGTACTGAAGCAGCTACGATCTAGGACTGCATGTACTATCTCCGAAGTTTTCATCTTCTATAGAGGGATAAATTCTGTACTCACTTCCGCGTTCATTGATATAAATTCATCCTATGCGCCATATGAGTTTCACCTACATACAGCTATGCTCTTCTGAAGAATTGACGGGTTCCAGATTGCACATTGCGAGCTTCTTTCTTGTTATTTTTATTTTTCAAAATTTTTGTAAACATAGTTATATGTTTCGACAGATTCCAGGTCAATGTGGTCTCAAAACTTCAATTAGATCTTCTATCAGGCCGTGGAGTACATTTAGTATTTCTGAAGATTATAACCTTCTGAAAATAGTTCAAGGAACTAGTTGCACATCACTGAAGCAACTCGAGCTGTAACTAATGATGCTCCAGTTATTCCTTAGCCCGCAAGAAGGAATGAATACCTACGCCTCGGTGAATGTCTCGCTACAAGCCCTCTTATCATCGCATTGTAAGTGGTAGCTCGAGAAAAATGCAGAACTCAAAACTCATGTTGGTACTCAACTTGATTCATTTTATCCGAAGGTACGCCTCACGAAACTACAACCCACCTTCACCTAGGAGTTCTTGTAATTGCTTTGCCTAAGGATCTAATATCCCTGTTTTTCAAGTACATTCTTTCACTCAACTATATATCATGATATGATGGTTCCGGAAAAGTACAATCTACTGTAACCACTTGTGTAAGAACAACGAGGCAAGTCGAGTTGTTTCATTCTTTGGGCTCATAAAACATTGCCAGATGATACTAGGGAGTTACTATAGTAAACTAGAATTATTTACTTGCCACATGTCAATGCTCCAAACCTTCTCGGAATAGTGGCATTTTGCTAACATTCCCGACTAAAAGTATCATTCTGTTCAAAGTGTGAACAGATAGAACGGCACTTTTGAAATCACACACGTTACAAAAGGTTGTTTGGGAACACGGATGAAGGTGGGTTGAAGGGCCTTTGGAGGGTTCAAATCGAGTGAAATGAATTTTGTTCGGCCTCAACAAGTGTTTTGGGTTCCGGAAGGATCCCGTCAGTTAATTTTCTCTGATAGCTCTAACAGCTGATTTTGTAATGGAATCTTATGTAGATAACTAATAGAGAACAACATGAATTAATGACACAACTTGATTTGAAAGATGGTATGGATTACATAATGCATTGGGGAGGATTGGTATTGTAATCTCAAAATGAATTGAAATCTCACACTAGGAAACCTTGAAAAGACCGCGGTTACTGTTTAGATTTCTAAGTTCGTATTTATTATTCTAATTTCCCAACCGCTCTGGTTGAAAATGAATCTTCTCTTTATAATATAGTGTGAGTTATCAGTTCTCACAAGTTAACTAAATTTAATCCAAGTTAGGGAGGTGACACTAAGTCGCGCAAATCTTGAGTTAAGAAGATTCAAATATAATGCCATAGGCTATGACACATCACTAATAGGTATTTGATACTCCTTGAGAATAAGAAATTGTTACCTGTCATTGGTACAACTGACTTACGATTCCTGAACAATCATCAAATAAAAGTTTTTTAAATTCAACTTAAAGTGTAAAGAAAAATTTTTAAGTTTCTAATGATTAAATTTGGAAACGATTTTCTCAGATCTCACTGTTCCGAGAAATATTATTATGTATAATTTATTAATGAAACTCAAATTATATGTGAATTTATTGTTTCAAACAAAATTATTAAATCATCATATTTTTTCTAAAGTTGAAAAAGTCCAAGTTGAGATTTAGACTAAAGATAGATTTACAAATTTATATAAAGATAAATATTGTAATCATATTCTGAATAGTTTAAAGGTTTTTGCAAAGATAAAAAGATCACTCGTTACTTCATCATGGTTTATACTCAGAAAAAATCATTAGTCCTCAAATATTCAAGCAAATAATGATGGAGAATTTGCACGGTACGTTCAACAGTTTTTACTTTTCATACAAATTTTAGACTTAATTTTCATAACCATTATGTATATGATAAATATTGTTTCTTCAAATGAAATCATTCTTTTAGACATTTTGAATTGAATCGTAAATAATGAACTAATTTAAATAGTTATAACAATTTTAATCCTACGATTTATACTCTAAATATCCAAGTAGATTAGAATCAAGAAGCTTACATTCAAGACGTTTCATTTTCTTAGATATGTTAGTGGTTTAAAACGTTAGGGATGGATTGAGATCATTGAAAGAAATGAAGATTTTTTCAACTTATCGTATAGGCAAGGATCAGTCTTCACTCAAGGATGTCATTATGTAAAATATTGATAATTATAAATTAATAATATGACGGGAAGCTCTGGTGTAGATAAGCAAATCACCCAAAAACTAAAACTTGAGTAGCAGGTTTTTTCATGAGACTCAAAATTATTTTATGAAAAAAAGAATTTTTTTTAACTAGAATTATCATCAAACTACATTGGTAGAGTTTTTTTAATATATGGAATATGGTCTCATTCATAATTCTTTAAGAAAAAATTTTATTGAGATCAAAGATGATGATGACAATGAATTGATCTGAAAAGAGATAAATTTTCTATCTATAAAATGAAGTAAAATATTGATATGAGGCATGAAATATATTATTGATTGATAACATAAAGTGAAAGTTAATAAAAGTTTTTTAAAAAAATTTGATTGACAGCAATTGGATTTACAAGTATAATTTGAAGTTTAATCTAGCAAGAAAATTTTTGAATCCAGGTTGGTGGTTAGAGATTTTACACCAAAAAACACGTATGGGTTACAATGTTTTTTTTTTTTGCAGAGATATGCATTCGAATGATTTCTGCACTTGATATAATATTTAGCATTATATTAAATAACATATATGGAGTAATAACAAGTTTCTATGGAACTTTAGAGGTGAAGTCCACATAATCTAATCACTTGGCTTTGAGACAAAAGATTAATAGAAGTTTATATGTAGATTATTGAAATTATTTTAATGATGAAAAGACATCCTAAATAGTAGAATACAATATTTGATGAGTTCATGAAAGCCCAAAAATTTTCACTAAGTATATATGAAACATGTTACATAAAAAGATGAATAATGAGATATTGAATTCCATTGAGATATCTCAATACTTTGAATGGATAACATGTTCATTTTGACAAATAATCAATCCAACGTTGCAAATGCAATAAGCGAGTCAATTTAACTAAAAAATGTATATGAGTAAGTTAAAAATAAAATTATGTATGGATATTTATGAAAATTTGAAAAATAAAAAGCAATGATTAAATTAGAGCATGTCAAGCACATTCCACATGTGCTTGACATGTTTAATAGAATAGATTTCAAAAAATTTGGAACTTTTTTTTAGCAAAAGTGAAGTTTATTCAACTAAATCCTAGTTCATGTAACTAGAATGTGAAAAATGTTCACAATAATTTATGAAAACGTAGTGTGCAAACTCATGTATTTTATGTTTTGCGGTAGATATAATACATATAATTTGATCATTACTAGAGCAATTTAAGTTCTAATGCTCTAGCTTTCATCAAGGTATACAAATCAAATCCAAGTTAGGTCCATTGAGAAATTGTGAAATCAATTTTCATGTATCTCAAGAGAAGTTAGGATATTGACATTTTATTTGATGTCTACTTCTTGTTATGTTTTGTTTACGTTCACAATGAGCAATATTGGAAAGAAAATATCTATAACTAGATACATGTTATATGATGGCTATTGAATAAGATGGAAATTTATTTTGCAGAAATTTCATGAACAATAATAACTAATTATTACTCTCTACAAGCAGCAAAATAAGTTATTAGGTTGAGTAAATTTATCACAGAAATTTTATTCAAATAAATATTATCAATTTTTGTTGTAAATCAAATAATGAACAACAGAATGAAACAAATCAACATGAAATATCATTTATATCAAAATAGAAAATTTTTATTTAAAAAAATTTAGACAATAAAAATTTACCACAAAATATTTCTAGTTAGATATCAACCAAAGTTTTTTACTTAAATAATTTTAATAAATTTTATACTATTCGACATGTTTCATAACAAGAGTAAAAAGAAAGTTTTTTTTAAATTTTTTTCTATGTTTCTTGGATAAAGTTTAACTTTTCGTTAGTGAATGATTTTAAAATTTATTTTAAAATTTTCATTTAAAATTATTTTATGTATCATGAATATTATGAGTTCCAAAATATGAATAAGGGAAAAAAAATTTAAAGTATAAATTTATCAATATAAGTTACATTATCTCCAATTAGCTAGGCTGACAATGTATAGAAGAGCTCGCCTAATCTATCATTGAAATTTTTGAAGATTTTTTTAAGTAAAATCTGTTATGAATCACGTATGTACAGTTTAATCCTCCGTGACCGTGTAATCTATACCGTTGAACTATTCCGCATATGCTTTAGATCAATCTAAATCTCTGGTTGCCCGATTTAGACCAAAACCCAAAGTCAAATGTGAAGGGGATGTGCCAGCGTTTTTGAGGGTGACGATAATCATCCTCAAACACATTCTTCACATAAACCAGGCCAAGTTATGTGAGCCAGGGTAGTTATAATCTCCACACTGGTTATCTTAATAGTATAATTCTAGCCTCAAGCCCGCTCGAACAGAAATCCGGCATTAATTTTGTCCCCTCGATCTTCGTCTGATTCTTCAATGTTCATATTCATGATTTCGTGTCTTGTGTTATAAGTCTTCTAGTCTCCCTGGATAAGACTGTTGACGTCATCCTGCAATGTACAGCAAAATGCTTATCCTATCACGGGATCAGCATTCCTTTCAACCTACCAAAACTTGCGCAATCTTAGGGCAAAGGTAATTTTCTTGGGTCTTCAAATGCAGATGATTTCACATTAGAGCGAACAAACTAACTATTCCGGGCAAAACCCCAAGATTCCTGTCCAGAGTCTACTACTTGGAGATTCGAATCTTCCTCATGTGCAACTCGAATAGTGTAACTCTGAGCTTCTCAATGATTCAGGCTTAATCAGGCCTCTCAATATAGGGTGGATTCCGTATGTTCCGTATCTCAACAAAATAAGGATAATTTTCAAATCAAAATAAAGAATATAAGGAACTTGACAGTTTTCGCCGAATTTTGACCTAAACTCGGTCTAATTTGTCGGCAATGTAATACAACTTTGAGAGAAATGGGTGTTATCTTTGATCTCTGAATATCCTTTTCCCATTTTAGCAAGGAGAAATCACTTTCCACACCGTTTGAAAATGGTGAAACTAATACTACGAAAAACTCCATGAGTTGAAGAAATTTATTTTTAAAACCTGGAATCAAACTTTTCAGTCAACAGATTTTTGTGCACCTAGAACATCGACTTCGTAATGTTCTGGGTTCACTGTTTTATCTTTGATCTTTTGTTTCCGAAAATTTGGAGACTTTCTTGATATTTTAGAACTATTTGAATAATTCTTTGTGTTTTCAAAGCTACAAGTGAATGAGTTAACCAAGGAAACAAAATACTAGAACTTGATTGAAACTCATCGGGTGTCGCCGCAAGGTTTTAGTCAAGTACTCCGTTAGTTTCTCTAATAAAGTAACGGTAATGAACAAAGAAATTGTCACAAACGATCACAGCAAAGATTTAGCTGAATATTTACGTAAATTTGTCTAGTAAAATCACCTACATCAACAAAGATTTGTCAAAAATTGTCACCCCCAAGTTTTAGTTAAGTGACCCCGTTAGTTTCTACACCTAGACAACAAAGACTTTTTGTTAGAAATAGGGAACTTTCTGAAAACGAAATATGGCAAATTGGCCGTTTTTAGGGAAGAAATATTGAGCGATGTCCGAATGAAATTTTATCATAACTGCAAATCCAACACGAACTGGCATGAACTCGAGTTAATAGCGTAATCAAATAAATCACAGAGTACGTTGTATAGATACTATCGGTACCTATGCAAGAGGAAGGGACATTGAGAAAAGGAGCACATGCTGGGCATAGTACGAACAGCATCTGCGGAGTAATTCCTAGGTCAAGATATAGAATCAGTAAAAAATTAATAATGTAATATTAACGAGAATTTCAGCAAGGGCATTTGGTCTAGTGGTATGATTCTTGCTTAGGGTGCAAGAGGTCCCGAGTTCAATTCTCGGAATGCCCCACGCTGAGGTTCGGCTTCTGCGCGTTGACACTCTCTACTGCGTCTAAATTTTTGAACAGCTGAACACGTAGCAACACATCGAATTAAACGAACTTCCAAACATGGTTAGCCAGAAATAAGTGGACGCATGATGGTAAAGACGGGCGACTGCAAAAACACCATCATATGCTGTGTTTTCTGTCACAAAAGGCCGAAGTAGTGAGATTTCAATGAAAAAACCCTTGCTACTTCATGCCGGAAACTCCAAATGAACCCTTTCTTGCAACTTTGATTCTCGATCGGATGCGACCTTCAAACATTGAAGAGATCAAGCATCTTCTGGTAAGTTTTTCCACAAGATCGGTCACTGGAGAATATTAATGAGAATGCCTTTTGGATTTAGAGTCCTCCATGAGAATCGTCCCATTGACATTAGAAATCTTATGCATCTCGGATCGGATCTACATCTAAGTGTATATACTTGAAAAGGGAAGACCCTGCAAGTAGTAGTATCGAACATACCATCGCCTGTCTACTTTAATCCATCCATTATCATTGAGAGGCCTCAATATCCTTTCACTTTTTTATTAAATAAAAAAACCTCGTACATGCCATCTTATGATTTCTTCCCAACTTACTGTTCGATTCACAATTCAGATAGATCAAAAAGTCTAAATTCCTCAGTTCTTCCTATTTAAGCTCAATAACTTCGTATCCACCAGACTTAGACGCAACACCCCTGTTCTTCTTTCTTGAAGAGATTCCAAACACGGATAATGCTATTGTCATGCGTTTCCAATTCGTTGTTCTGGTTTCATCAAAAGGCATAAGCACTTTTTCATCATATATTGTTCAATCTTGAGTATTGCATACAGGAACACTGGATTTGAATATATACTTACTGATATGTCCTTTTTGTCAATGTATCCCTCATTTCCATTTTCAGATTTTCAAACCTTTTTCCAATGAATAATTCCTCTTCTCACCAGTATTTTCTTCAAGCTTATAACTTTTGAAAAATAATAATATAAGCGTGTGATAAAAAACTGGACACTAAGACAAATATCATCAAAAAAATTGGTGGAGTAAACAAGATAATTTTGTAAAGAAACCACCGCATTTGTAGAGTTCATCTTTGCTACTTAAGCACTTCGTCCGTCTTTGTCGGCTGTGAAATCTATGATTCCACATAGAATCGTTCTTGGATGCTTGCATAACAAAAACCGACCAAAATACTTTTAGATGTAAAAGAGAAAAGAGATACAAGAGATGTTATTTACATAAATATAGAATAATACTTTATCTCTTTTCCCTTTTCCTATAATTGACTTAAAAATACTGTACATTTTAAATTGTTGATAGTTTTTGGTGATCTAGCATTTTTAGTGGATGAGCTCAATCTTCTTATAAAATTTCACTTCATGGATTTTTATTGAACAGCAACAATTATTTTCATCTTTATCGATAAACTTTTCTATAGCATTAACATAATTCCTTGGTTAATCCCCTTCACATTTTTTAGTAATGCAAGTTACTCCTTGACCAGCAGAAATGAAAAGTATAACCTACCGATGATTACAGTATGCAGGTATCTTCAATGGAAGGAAAGAGTGTTGATGTACTTTGCAGTTGACTCGAAATAGGACTAATCCATACTTGGTTTGAGCAAAAGGCTTACTTGGTTCCGAAGTATGAGAATAATGTTGTAAACATTGCGGTGACTATTATTAGGTTCAAATATTATTATCAATCTCTATAAAAAGTTGACATTTGGAACTGCAAAAATCTAGGTTTTCAAGTATATCGACATGTTGCGAACTGCAAAACTTTGGATTACATGGAGCTTTGATCAGCTAATTTGTAATATGCACGAAATGTATCATAGTAGGCGACAAAAGTTTCACTCTCTCTAGTAATTGGTATGACTTCTTATAGACAGTTTATATTCATTTCTTTACATAATGCACTACATTCTTTGGATGCTCCTGATTAGTTACTATAATGCAGGAACTACCAAGAAAAAATATTCCAATAATATTATTTTTTTACTTGATGTAACTTACCCTAGGCCAATCTTAATTTGAACTTGATGGGATCTTTCCATCATAATTTCCATATTACTTAGTACATCTTTTACATGTGATGGGTAGTCCTAGCCTCATTAGGTATAGTTAACAAGTCTTAGAATATGTTACCAAAAAACAATGTTGAGGTATAGATAGTCCCAAAAATATTATTGGGTGCTTCATCATCACTAGGGGTAATATATAGAGTAAAGGATTGTAATCTTCCCTTACAATTACAAGTATGCTAAATCAGTATTTCTATAAGATTCGAAACGTGGAGCCTTTCACCAGCTCTTTAAATTGGTTCTTTATAAGCTGCTAATGAAACGACAGATGAGGTGTTTTGCAATTTGAAATCGTCACCGTCTAGAGCCCACTCACCGTCGTTCTCTTGTTTGAATGATCACTGGTCATAGTCGGAACCGGAGGATGGGTCATAAAATCCTGTATATACAGCACCCTGGCTATGATTGGACGGAAACAAGCATTACATATTTATCTTATTCCGTCTGGTGATAAGGAAATACTTAGATCACTTTCTACAACATGTTAAACCGTCCTGAATTTATGATCAGTTTGAACCTTGAGAACCTTCTGTATGTAATCGCGAACACATTTCAGTACTCACAACCAAGAGAATAAGCTAGCAAGTCCAGCTGATTCGAAGCAGAGACTTGAACGCTTTGATCTTGATCTTTAAGGGGTAACTTATACAGTGATGGTGTATTCCTTGAATACCAGACGCTTACTAACTTGTAACATTTCACTTGTATTCCGGAAAGAAAAATAGAGTATGTATCACAATATCTTACATATCAGGGGAGCTAATTGGATGCTCCTTCTACTGCATGTGAGACATAATCGGCAGAGACCTGAAGATAAACTGCCAAGATTTCATCTGCAGAAAAAGAGTAGCTCATGTCATGACCTTCGGCCTCGTTAGTTAAAAAGAAGATTGAATTAAACTAAAATCTAGTAACTTGTGTAACTCCCGAGGAATGCGTATTTCAAGAAGTTTTCCGTTTGGTTGTACAAACACCAAGCGTCGCCCCTGCATCGTCTTGTATTGGATTTCAGCCACCAGGCTTTGTGGTCGCAGACAAGGGGCCTATAAAAGAGTTGGAGTTCCACTCAAACTTCAAACTAGACTTGCACATTACAAGTGTGAAGATTTAGTGAACATTATTGATTCTTATAGAATTTTGGACATGTAGCAAACAGGTGAAGGAATCCTTGGTTAGAGACAGGCTATTAGACCGAAGTGTTCAGCAGTGGCTTGTTTGAACCAAGAGCTTGGACCATTGCAGAGGTTAGAAAAATAGACCTAAATTGTGCATTTCTCGAACTAAAAGAACTTGTTTGTCCAACTTACCGAGGCTAGCTGCAATTCGTAATCTCATTTGGCAATGATGGTGCTGTGACCAAACCGGATTGCTTTAAGTCTTACGAAATGCCTTGTGGTTCCTTACGCGTTTGCAAATCGCTGCGTCCCGGCCATTCGATTGTGTGTTTTCTTTGAAATACATAGAACTTGTGTTGTACGTTTGTTCATGCATGCTTTGCTATTGATTTCTTGAGGTGTCAGAAGAACTGATGCGTTGCACTGCAGTTGACCAGGAATTCGACAAGCATGGAAACACAGGACGACAGAGCATTCAAAGCAGAAAATGCCTTGGACTTCTACATCTACAACTACATGTTGAAGAAGAATTATCACAATTCCGCAGATGCTTTTTTTAAGGAAGGCAAAGTAATGCCACCATCGTTGCCAGCTGCAGAGGAGTCTGAGGATGGATTCTTGCTCGAATGGTGGACCGTCTTTGCGGAAATTTACTTCTCTCGGATCAGAACAAAGTTCTATAACCTGGAGATGCTGCACAATACCACACGGCACCAGTCCGGACATCGCAGTACCCCCCAAGATCGCCTCACAGTTGAGCACCTGCCATCTGATCAGGATTTGGAGAGGAGAAACATTTATTTAGGTCAACACTACAGCAATGGATATTTACTTGGAGATTACCCCCGAAGATTATATGCCAGAGTGCACGAAGGACTTTTCAAATATACACAACAAAGCAGTGACTGTGTGGTACCAGCTTTGCTGGAAGACGCTTTCGGTGCAACCTTGCCAGCTTTGTCAGATCAAGAAGTTATGGATTTTCTACATCCATCTTTCCATCAGTTTTCTGGAAGACGTACATGTGAGATGGATAATTATGGTTCAACTCTGGTGAACCTAGGATGCAGCAATGACAGCAATTTCAACTTCCCAAAAATCAATCCGTCGTCTACAAAGAGGAATGACGATCATTTTCCACCAGAAAAATCACAGATTGGATCTCCACAAACTCCTCAATTTCTGGTTCCGACTTCTCAGCAGCACCTTCCCGGCCCAGCTGGAGAAATACAGGCACCTTATGGACGTTCTTCCTGGGTGAAAGTTACTTCTGAGGTTTCCAGCAATTGTTTCCAGACATCTAAATCTCCAAATGCCCAGGTGTCTGCAATTGTTGACAACAAGGATGTCTCTCAATTTTCTGAACCTTCAACGCAAGTTTCCTTACCTTCAACAAAAGGCAATCGGACTGAAGAAATTTTCATGAAAATGAGGCAGCTAGCTCGCATGCATGGTCTGACGAAGAATCCTCGACCAAAAGCAAAGCAGCGGAATTCTCTGAGGAGGATGAGGCACGATGTTCAAGATGCAATTATAAACAGATATCCTGCTCTTGATGGAAAATCAAGCAGTATCAGATCTGATACTGACCTGGCAAAATCTTCTCAGGAAACGGAAACAAAAATAGAAGATCCTGATATTAGATTTGCTGACCATGAGGTAAGAAAGACTTCAGGAGAAGCTTGATCAGTAGGTAGAACAGAAGTTTAGAATCAACATTAGCAGCAGGGTCTCAGAAAATTATAAGAACCTCTCTAGGAAACGTTTGAATCATAGGTTCTTCAGATGATAGCACTGGTCCATCGTTTGGTTGCAGTATTCAAGTTTCTATCTGCTACTGACTTATTTAGGAAAGAACACAAGGTTCCAGAAAACTTCGTACTAGACATTCTAAAATACGATAACAAACGAATCATGTAAGTTGCATAATTGTGTTGCGGCAAGTTTATCCTCTATTTTGATGTAAGTACGGTTCAAGGATTCTTTTTCTAATTTTGGGTAGTAACAAAATGCTTGCGTAACCAGTTCATTCTTTTATATTTTAACTAGATGCTATGAAGCTCCCACTAGGGAGTTTCATTTCATAGTTTTATAATATGTTGACAATCAATCATCTTCAGAGTACATGAGCCCTAGCGTGGACATGCACACAAAATTCCTAGAATAGACCCTTACACCAACAGAGACGGCTTAGTTAATATTTATCAAAATCGTTTTACATCGACCTACAAACCCTTATCGTGAACCCGCAGTTTAACGATGTAATTGCAAACATTTATCCAATGCAACATACCTAAAGGCAAAAGATCAATCAGAGATGAGTGAGAAATTCTGATTATGTGGTAACTAAATGACTTCTAGCAGCTCATACTGCTGAGTACATTCTACTTTACTTTCCTTAGCGTCAACTATATAAAGTTAAGTGGGCTTTAATGGTTTACGATTTCGAGGGACAACAAAGGATGATAAGTAGTAACCACAATAGTTAAAGACTTTGAAATCCTGATTCAACACCGGTCTAAACCAGATAAAAGACATGTTTTCAATTAAAACTCATTCACATATATCAAACCTGTTACATGCTTTATAGTACGAAAAGGGTTTTGACTTATGATTCAGCAAAATCTCCTCTGCCCTAAGTCAGATATTGCAGCTTCCATTTCAAGCGTGATAAGTCAACATCTTTATCTTTGTCAAACAAAAATTAGGCTCGTTTCAGATATTACAACTTCCATTTTAAGCATAGCAAGTTCACATGTTCAGCTTTCTCAAAGAAATAGTAGGCTGGTTGTGTTCTGTTTCAACAATCTGTTGGAAACGTAAGCTGCACCAGTTTTATTTGCTGTTTTTTCCTAATAGGTATACAGTATCAAGTTATTCTTTGAAGTTTTGAAACTGTAGGCTCTTATATGCACAGATTCCAAAAGGTTGATCAGTGGACTATCTTGGACTCCATCTCCCCTCGTATACCTAGTTTATGCAATGAAGAAAAAGCTCCTGATAGAGATATACACTTTTAGCTGTATAGACCGACAAATACGATATATAGATGCATTGTGATCCGTAGTAAGAGCTAAAGCCAGAGCTGTCAAAAAAAAGGATAACTCATTTATAAAAGTACTCCGTGGAAATCTCATGAAATTCAAGGTTTGTCATCTAGTAGAATTCTTTTCAAGAGATGAGAGAGTTAAGAATGAGTGACAATAACAAAAGATGTAAAGATGTTCACAAAACAACACAAGAAGAAGTTGAATTTTCGTATATTAGTCAGTCTTCAGATGAATCAATTTTCATTTCGGAGTTCAGCTCAAAATCAAAGCTGAACATGAAGATTCCGGACACTATCCTGAAATATTTGAGCCAAATACTCGTTGAGTCTGATTAGAAGCAATAATGAGCTTAAAGTGCAATCTGCAGGCCATGAGTTCGTCACCGCAGTAACACCTTTTGTATCGGCCCGTAAAATTCCTGAGAATACACTTTCTTGCTCTTGGTTCTAGTTCTATATATTCATGAGTCGTTATGGACGTTTCTATTCTACCTGCCGCTTCGGTTCCTTTAGAACTCTATTCCGGAATCAAAATTACAAGAGGACCCATCCCCTGAAGATTCTGCGACCAACGGCCGAAGGTTCCAGGTTTGACAGCTGCTATAGTTCCGACCTGCATACTTTCGGTGAGACCATTCTAGACGTTTAACTCAGTCTAGTTTCCAAGTGCTTGAGAATAGAGAAGTAGATTGATTGCAACATGAAGTGTTCCTCTCATGTCAGCTCCTTGTGTATGATTGCTTCCGGCTGATCTAAAAGTCATTCCTGCATATGCAAGGGGTGACTGCTTGTCGAATCAGCATGGCTTTACTTTGCTCGACCCTGTCATTAGACCAAGTCCCAAGTGCAAAGGATACACGAGGTGAAGGGCTTACATGTGCAAGAAAAGTGATGGTCACCTAAGAGTTTATCATGTTGAATCTTGGCCTCCCTTTGAGATGACCAAATGTCCTCACAAATCTGGGTGTCTCGAGAAAGTTTTCAAGTAAGAACCACAAATTGTACCATTCAGATTTTTGTGATCCGTGCGATTTCCCTTGAACTTTAACGGCCCCTTCAACAGCTGGACATAAAATCGAGCACAATGATCGATAGCTTCAATCACCAGTTTCGTTAGATCATATCTACTAGGATGTATTCACATATCTCCACGTGTAGTTAAACTAGCAATTTTCTGAAACAAGTTCAGTGACAGCAAACATGCCAATGGAGCTTGAACTCTGAAGTACACCAAAGATATTAGTAGCATATGCAAGGAGGCTTGTTCATGTGGTGACTTTTTCGCTGTTTTCCGGGACTTGATATCTACCATGAGACTTTGGATGATGGAGCATCTGTCCTACAGTATATTATGTAGAATTAGAGGATGGTTGCTACGATATCCTGCATGGATTTTGAATAAAGAGTGTATGAGGTTTTCTTCAAGAAACGCGAGACTTGAACATTACACCTCCATACAAAGTCAACGCAAAACCATGCATGAACTTTGACCCGTTCGGGATTTGTCAAAAATAACGTTATCTGCACCACCTCTATCGACAGCCTCAACACTGTTGAGGCTGTCGATAGAGGTGGTGCAGTTACACATAATGCACTGTTGAGTCAACAGTGCATTATGTGTTGAATCCGAAGCATAGCACGTCGCCGAGATATAATGTACTTCTTGAGGCTAATGAAGAATTCGTACCTCGACCCTGAATGTTTTAAAGGTTCAGAAGTACTCCTCACAAACTTTCCTTCCTTTGGTGAATCTAGAATCTTGGTGATCCTGATGCTTTTTTAAGGCTTAGAAAGCTCAAAATCTACTGTACCGAGTAATCTTATTCGAGATTCCTGGCAAGAGTAACCAATGTTCCATCCTTCGATGGTTGTTTATGGCTGTTTACTCTTCTGCTCTGAAACAAGTTCTCGGGCCAGGAAGTGGGATCAGAATTAGGAACAGTCCCGTACAGCCAATCAACCCACTCACTTGGAAGTCCACTCGTGTCAGCCAGACCTTGTAGTATGAGAGGCTCATGAAATATTGCACCATGTTCTTGCTTGACACTATATGAACCGATGAATGATGTCCTTCCTCTTTGACTATGTGCCAGCTTTCGCACATGAGATGGATTTGCACCGGTAATTTTCCTGCATTGTCTTCATGGACCACTCTCTTGCAAACAGCGAAATACACGAGCTGGGGAAATGTAAAATTTTCTTGTCAACATAATCGATCTAATGATGTGCCCTGAGCAGTTCCACAATGAACTCTATGTTATCCTAATCCCCAAAATTAAGCCATGTCTAAAAGGTAGAATACGTAAGTCCGAAATCCGCTACAACAATTTCGTAGTCTGAACTAAAAATAGTTATGCCTTGAAATGCAAGGCATAAATATCTGACTACAGATATCTCCTGCTATATTAAACATCATCATTATTGGCATGATACAATCCCATACTTGGTGAGTTCAAGGTAATGGTACATTTCATTGCTGTAGAAAAGGTAGATGGTCAAAGAGTCTGATGCACAATGTGGCCAATATTTATTTTTTCTTGTTAGGACAAGAAAAAATAAAGGATCAATGATGAGAGGAAATAAAACACAAGATAAACCGATAATCTCTTAGTAGAGTTGGTAAGAAGACCTTTGGTAGCCTTTGACCAAGTTTTTTTTCTTCGTTTTCGACATTCTGATTGCCTGTCTAACTCCATTACCATTAGAGTTTGGAACATACTCTAATGGGGAAGAGATGCGATCTTATTGTTCTGCAAAGCAAGCAAGAAATGAACTTGGCACAGCCACCGAATTTTTATCTTGTCCAAATACTGGACGTTGACTTCTGAAATCTGCATCAATTTTGAATGTTTAAATATGCAATTGCCATTTCACGGATGAATCTCATTTCAGGTGCTTATAAAGAGCCAAGAGTATATTTTCGACTGAGGGTGTTCTGAACATATTCTAACGAATGCTTTTGAGCAAACCTGCTGCCAAAGTAACGAATCTCGGACCATCTCCGATCATTGCCCATGGGAATTGTAATGTCCAAAGAGATTAAGCCTCCTTTCGTAACAATATAAACAAGAAGCAAGGCTTATCTCAAACGAATGTAGCTAGTTTTCGTCCGATCTACTCTATAGTTTCCACTCTTCGGCCTTCAACTCGGTGGTCTATCTCTTTGCTTTCGCAGATGCGATGATTCCGATACTCATTGACGACTTGGCTGCTAATTTCCATAACTGACTAACATCATTAAGTGTAGGATAGAACAGCTTGGGTTTGAGATGTCTTCCTCTCCAGTACCACCACTGTCGTCTAGCATATCTTGGCACTGTCGAACTCCATCTGCTGACTAAGTCGGTTGATCATTGTGCCAGGTCCCTCGAAATAATCAGGAGCCTTGTCTTTCACAGTTAGCCTCTATAGTGCACCTCTTCCTAGCGTTATATAATTATTGTCCTTATTCAGCCGGCCCTGAAGCACAGCGATTGACTAAGCCTGATCTGTTCTGTCCTTAAACGATATCAGCTGCTCTACACAATACGTCCTTAGCTCAGCCGCGACGAGATGAACGCCTTGGCTGCCACGATCGGAGGCGCAAAACTTTTGAATCTCCAATATCAAGTGCTCCTGAATGAATTCCAAAGTCTCCGACGTCCCTTCGATAAATGCTGGTGAAGTCTCAAACCTCACCAGCATTTCCATCAAATAGCCTTCTTAACCGCTATATTCCGCCAGAACCTCTGTGTCACTTTCATAATTTCAGATCCGAATTCTTTCCACTTTGATTCTCCGAGAACTCGATGTAGTTCTGCATAAAACTACATTTCAGTACACAAATTTAGATAAGAGCCTGAAATTAAAAGAGCTCAAAAGAGAAATACGGCCATGACCTGCGCAGATTTCTGTTGCAGCTACGGTCTTAGATCCCACGGCCAGCTGTG